AAGAAGCAGAACATGCCATTAGAATTGCAGTTAAAGTCATTTGATCAGGTATAACTTCTTCTGATAGCATCTCTCTATATAGTTGAAGGGCTTGATCTGCACAGCCATGTTGTACAAAACCAGAAATCATTGAGGCCCATGAAACATTGTCTTTGTTGGGAATTTGCTGAAAAACTTCGTAAGATTCCTCTAGACTATCACACTTCGAGTACATTGTGAAAAGAGAACTACCAACAGAAACATCAGAGACCAGCCCAATTTTAAGAGTGTAGCTGTGTATCTGTCTCCCTAGATTTAAACAGTCTACAATACTCAAGACACTGGAAGTACAAAACATATCTGGTCTCACACTTTCCTGTAACATTCTCTGGAACAATTCAATTGCCCTTCCAGAATTTTGATTCTGAGCAAGAGAAGATATCATCGCAGCCCATGTACCCAGATCCTTTATATTTTCCATCTCTCTGAACACCATCTCCGATAGATCAACTGCTCCTATTTTTGAGTACGCGTTAATTAAAGCTGACCCCACAACTGCAGCTGAATAGAATCCAGCTTTTAATATCAAAGAATGAATTTGGGTTGCCTCTTCAGCCATGGATGTTTTAGCACATGCATTAAGTATACTAGTAATAGTGTACTTATTCATTTGTTCTCCCATTTTTCTCATTTCTCTGAAAACTTTTAGTGCAGAAACAGAATCGTCCTTATGCACAAAACCTGAAATGATGGCAGTCCAAGAAACCACATTACGGGTTGGCATACGTGAGAATTTCTTGACAGCTTCATTCATTTTTCCACATTTGGCATATAAATCCACAATAGTAGTCCCAACAAAGACATCTTCTGCACCACGTTTAATCACCCACCCTTGAACTTCCTTCCCAACTCCAACTTCTTCAAGTGCAGCGCAAGCGGTTAAAACACTAGAAAATGTAAAACTATTTGGCAAAAAAACTCCACGACACATTTGCCGAAAAAGATACAAAGCAGCCATGTTCTCTCCATTTCTCACTGCTCCAGAGATAATCGTATTCCAACTCACAACATTCTGACATGAAACATCATGAAAAACCCTCAAAGCATCGTCAAAGCTGAAATTTTTTGCAAACAAGTCTATCATTCCAGCCTGAACATAACCATTTGGAAAGAACCCACTTTTCATTGCAAGTGAATAAACCTGCTTACCAAAAGTGGGAGCTTGCAAGGCAGTGCAAGCTGAAAGAGTACTCCCATAGGTAAACTCACTGGGCTCAAAACCCGAAGAGTGCATCCTACAAAAAATTTCCCACGACTTCTCAAATAAGGAGTTCTGGTTATAACCCGATATCATCATATTCCATGAAATAACAGTTCGGTCAGCAATAAAATCAAACAACTTCAGTGCATCTACCATGGCAGAAGACTTACAGTACGAATCAAGCAAAGAATTCGCAATGAAGATATTGGATTGCAGTAAATCAGTTCTAAGCAAATGGGTGTGCAAGATTTTAGTGTTTCTAGTAGAACACTGTCTTGATTTTGTATAATCATTGAAGAACTGCAAGGGGTCAAAATGACTGGGACTTTGGTCTTTTTCACTGGGAAAAGAAGATGGATTTTCCACAACGGCAAGCGAGGATACGAATTTGAGAGTGAAGGGCGAGATTCTGGTGTGGAGTTTTTGATTGAGGAGAGAATTCATTTGGGTTCGTGAAGAGGAGAGGGAAAGTATGGTCAACTAGTCACAGATCATTTTGAAGAAACGCGGGAACTGATTAAACCCAAAAAGAGGGAAGAAGTGTAATAATACTCGTGCTTGGCTAGTATGAATAATTATCATCTCATTGCTTCAGCTAACAATCAGTCAAGATGGCCGAGTTGGTCTAAGGCGCCAGTTTCAGGTACTGGTCCGAAAGGGCATGGGTTCGAATCCCATTCTTGACATTAGTTTTTCATATTATTTCAATATTTTTTTTCCCAAGATAAGCTTCTGCATCCTCTTTTCTTTTTATTGACTCATTTACTCTTCACCATGATCAAATCATTCTGCCTCTTTACTAAGATCAAATCAACAAAACTCAGCTAGCTCAAGCAGTCGAAACCGCAAACGAAATACAGATACTGATATTCAAAAGGAAATGGCTAAAACATTTGGTGAGATGATTTCTGAGTCTGTTGACCAATTGAAAACTATAACTACTAGTTTGGTGAAAGGATCAAAACCAAGACCTGACATTGCTGCTGAATTGGCAAAAATGGACTTGTCTATTAATGACCAAATTAAGGCACTACAGCTAATTTTGGAGAAAGCAAGTGATGAGAGAACATTCCTGACATTGGATGGTGCTATGCGAAAAGCATTTGTTCTTCTCTTACTTGGGGCAAGGGAGCTATGATTCACTCTTTGATGTAGTTTGGTTTATGAACAACTTTCCATTTTGCTTTTATCACCTTAGTATGTGATCACTTTGAATTATACATTATTTGGTACTGTTTTTATTAACGTATGAGAGTATGTTGGAATTTTTATGAGATACTACAATTATGATAATGGGTTATATGAAAAAAAATCTTGTCATATGAATCTTACCCAAAAAAAATTGTGTCATTTGAATCTCAATTTCCATTAAAATTATCAAAGAATTTGTTTTATTTTAAAAATAGTCTGATCTGATGTTATCCGGAATATCACCAAACACAGTATAACTTAGTCAGACAATTTATCCAGAACAGCACCAAACGCCTTATAATATTATGGATAAAATAGTCAGTACTCTCCTGAACAAATTAATACTATCCGACGGAATTAGTCAGTACCGTCCGACGTACCAAACGAGCCCTCAGTGTTTTGCCACAACGAAAAAACAACAACAACAAACAAATGCAAGCAGTCTTTCACAAAGTTCCAACAAATCATAATCCATTCTTTAATGAATTATTATATTCCACAAAAGCAGCCTGCCTGCCAACTATTTTAGCCTTATAGTAAAATACTAATGTTAGTGGACATAGTTTAGAACTCTATATAAGGCAGCAAGAATGAACTCACTACACAAGAAAGAACTGAGTAAAAAAGAAGAGATGGCAGGGGAAAAGAGCGAGAGTGTGATAGTACATGGGTTTTGGGCAAGCCCTTACTCAAAGAGGGTGGAACTAGCCCTTAAACTGAAGGGCATACCCTATGAATATGTGGAAGAAGATTTGAAGAACAAGACCCCAGAACTGCTCAAGTACAACCCTGTCTCCAAGAAAGTTCCTGTGCTTGTTCACAATGGAAAGCCCATTGCTGAGTCTCTTGTCATCCTTGAATATATTGAAGATACTTGGAAAAATGGTCCTCACCTTCTCCCGGAAGATCCCTACAAAAGGGCACAAGTTCGCTTTTGAGTTGATTTTGTCCATCAAAAGGTGACACCCTCTTATCTCTATGCTACTATTTCCTGCTATACTCGCCAAATTTGTTCACTAAAAATATAAGACGTAATGCATGCATACATACAAACAATTTGATAAATAAAATTTGATGTCACTAGCATTATTTTAGTAATAAATGTTGAATAAGGACATTTTTAACTTGATGCTTGTTGTACTATTGGAGATGGCCGGCCTTGTGTTTTGTTCTTATATATAAAACAAGTGAGTTTATCAATGTGATTATTAATTAATACAAGGGCTAATGATTGTAATTAAGTGCAGTTTTCTGGCATCATGATGACAGCAGTTAAAACTGAGGGGGAAACACAAGAGAAAGCCCTCAATGAGGTGTATGAGCTATTGAAGGTGCTTGAGGAGGGAATTAAGAGCTTTTATCCAGATGGAATTCCAACTTTTGAGGCTGAGAATTTGAGCCTCCTAGAGGTGGTAGCAAGTTCAATACTTTGCCCTTTTAAAGCTCCAGAAGAAATTCTTGGTATCAAAGTTATAGACCCAGAGATAACTCCACTACTGTTCTCTTGGGTGGAAGCTCTAAGCGAGCTATCTCTGGTGCAAGAGACAATCCCTTCTCATGAAAAGATTGTGGCACTTCTTGGGACCTTGAGACAGCTTGCCATCAATCCTCCATCTCAGTCGTAAAATTCGATGGATTGGCAGCTCCATGTTGTTTAACTTTAACCTGTGTTGTCCTTTTTGTTTTGCATGTTTTAAATAAGAAGTTGAAGAAAGTTGGTTTTTACTACTTTGATTAGAGTAATAGCTTTGCTTTTCAAGGGTGAAAACATTATTAATTTCATTTGGGATCAGTGGCATTTCCATTTTCCAAGTGGCTTCTTCTTCTACTACAACCTGCAAATGATCACAAACAGCAGAAACGTGCCATTTCTCTAGCTGCTTACAATGCTCCAATCGTAGGAACATATTATTCGGAAGCGATAGCTAGATTTTTACCCCCAGAGGTTTTCCTTGACAAGTGATCGCTTGACCATGATTCTTGATTCATAGTTTACTTTCCAATGTTAAAGTTTAAAACTGGTAAACATGGCCTAATCAAATAATGTAAAGGTAACAAAACTTGGAAATAAAAGCTGTCCATTGTCTTACTGCTGCTTATTATACAAATACAAGGGCGAAGGAACTAAGAACACTTTCACATACATCAAAACATATTCCCCGTTTTGGGTATCAAATCATAGCATTGTTTTATTTGTTTATTTTGGCCTCTGACATCATTTAGTATCCTAAATTTGAAACCTGGTATGATACCCTCTAGTGTATATTTTCACTTGTGTAGACAAAATTTGACTTAATTGTGTAGACTTCTGGATTTAACTATTAAAAGCATCTCTTCTTTCATACTTTCACTTGGCCAACTATTCACTGTTCTGTTTGGCGGCTTCCAACATGTCTTACAGATTTGGATGACACTCTACGCCCCCGAACTCGACTTGGCATGCCTCAAGAACATTGAAGGTATGGCCGTAAACTAGTATTGATCAGACGAAGATGCTATTAGTTAGGTGATAATATTGAATTTCACTACTCATAAACCATTAACAAATTACTAATGATGTTGAGCAATTTCGATTATAGAATTCATGTTGCAGGCACTTGCAAATATTGTTTTCTACAATCTTAGTATCCTATACTTCAATGTTTATAAACTTTATATATATCTGGAACTTTGATAGTCAGTTGGTAGGGGTTGGCATCAACGGTGTGCAGCTGGTGGGGGTTGGCATCGACGGTGTCCAGCCGGTCGGAAGTAGGCTGTTGGACATGTGACATAGCGTGATTCACTTTAAATGAATATGTTATAAATAAAAAATTGGGCTTGCTGATTTGCTGGCATTTTAAAAAGTATAGCCGCGCGGCTATACTTCTAAAATATAAATTTAATAACACTCAATATAATGGAAAATAATAAGGATATAGTCAATGGACCTGCCAGCTGCTTTTAGGTCCGTTTAAATTTGAGTTGAATTGACGTTTATACCCTTTTTCTTTAAGAAAAGGAAACGCTGATATGCACCTAAACACAACGACGTCAAAATGAATCAAACGATGGGCGATCTCCTTCAGCTCGACGACGGCGTCGGAACGTCTTTGCACGGGTGGTGCTACAGTGTGCTAAGCGGACTTTGTTCTCTCTCTCTTTCTGCTGCTACAAAACGAA